CAATACTAGATACTAGAAGACTAGATTGATGACTTTCAATATCCTAACTTATTAGTACAACTCTAGCTTCCTACTTTGCAAAAACTTTGTATTTCAACAAAATGTCCTCACCCCTAGGATAACCTTGATGTCCAAATTCCCAAGGACTGGGACGAGTGTTCAAGGCAGATCACAACCGCTTAATCTACCTTACTGTTGCATATCACCTGGTTTTATTAAAGTGGTTTCCTCAATGACAATGTATAAACACTCTCAGCTATGTAAATTGTTAATTTAATATACAGTTCAATGCTCTGGCAAGGGGTTGTGTAGTGATATTATTACACCAAGTGTCAAGTTATGAAATCATAAACCTGCAATCATAAACAATAACCCCTTGGGCCCTGCTAAATCTGGCATACCAAATAGCTGGTATGGCCTGGTAATAATAAGCAATTACCATCTAGAAGGTTCCCAAAGTGACACTATAAAAATTATGCTATTGTTGTATTAAAAAGCACAGAATTTGATGTGCCTGGTAACTAAAAATTTAATTCAATTGTGTTTATACACTCTTGTGTTCAGCATAGTGCTCAGCTAGGCATTCAAATTATAACTAGAAATTACTATCACAAGTGAAGGGTGTATAATATAACAATAGGATAATTTCTATGGTCACTTTTTTGGGACACCGTGTACATTATATGCTTTTAAATATAAATAATTCATTTTATTATAAGGCCATGGGGATTTGCGTCCCCGCCCACCCACATCCCTCAAAAGCTACAACCTAAAATTTCACAACTTATTTTCACAAATAATGCTCTGTCACATAAACTCAAATTCCATGCATTAAATTTGCAAAAGGATTATTGTAGCGTAAGTATGATCACAACACTGCATAAACGTTTTCCACCTTACGAATTGCCGATCCGCATCAATATAAATACCAAATGTGTTGCGCACGACACATATTTTTAAAGCGTATTAATCGGGCTATAGAAACCACTGAAGGACCCGTGTCACTATGGCCGTCGATCTAATTTTTCTATAAAACAATGCCAATGGTAAATCAAAAAATTATGAATAATAAAAAAGGCCGCATGCTTTTTCAAAATTTGAAATTGTCCGGACGCAAATCTGTGACTTTGAATTCCCATCAGTCCCATGGTTTGTGCATGGATCAGGATGATGGAACAATCGATCCATAATCTTAATATCTATGTAACTCAAGTGTAAGTTTAAACACTGTCGCAAGTAATCACCACAAAAGTAAAAGAAAGAAGTTTTTTCATTGCTTACCCTTGTTTAAAAGTGTATTCTCCACCTTCCCTTGACGATAGCAGCGGCAGAAAGAACTTTCATTGCACGAGTTTTCCAAATATGCCCAATTAATTAACCTTCCATATGTGGTTACCATATATGTAAATTACTTCCAAATATGGCCATAGGAAATTTGCCATGGAAATTTACCCGAAAACGTGTTCATATTAAACGACATAAACCATTGTGATTTCAACAAAGTTACAGTGCGCAGAAATTGATTTGTTAAAGTTTTGTTAAAATCTTTTACAGTAAAACTTTAAATTTATAGAACAAGAGATTGTTATCGATTTTTTGTAATTTATAATAGAAAATAGAAACGAATCTTTCACAATTTCGAAATGTGGAAGTACCACTCTTTTGGCACAAATTTTGGTGCCTCGTGATTATTGCACGTGATCTGTTTCTGTTAATCTGTTTGGCTGCTTCACTGAGCTGTTGTGACCAGTCGTGAAATTATACAAGTTTCTTCTTTCTTTGTAATTATTCACCCGAAATAAAAAACTTCGTTGTCTATTTGGCGTTATTGGAGCACTGGCCTATTCAAGAGTTTTTAAAATACACGAGGTCAGTTTAATTTAAGAAAATGTTAATATATTTTATTGCCATCACACCGTCACACATCATGGCATCATTTCCATAGAATCGAGCATAGAATCATCGCATCACTCATTTAATTTCATCAAGTTTTACAATACATTGTTGATCATTGTTAAAAACAACGATGTTTTTGGATTACAAAATGATCTTTTAGAAATACGCAATATTTAGTTACATTTACATATAAATAATATTTGTCAGATACTCCGGAACTGGGAGTGGGGGGGGGGGAGTAGAAATCCAGTAATCGACCTCAAAAAAAAATAAATATATATATATATATATATATATATTTATATATATATATATTTATATATATATTTATATATATATTCACATCGTTCCGGCATCACCAGAAACTGGTAATTTATATAATACTAATATGCATTTATGCTTTTTTAGGTTTTGTTGTCCAGTATTTCCATTTATTGTTTATTACTACTTCACCTATTGTGCCATTATTACACCAAAGCAAGGCATTGTGCCACTGCTATTATCAAAACAATCCTTTCTGAAACAATTAACAAAATTTGATATAATTCACCAGCAAAATAGATATAATATGGTACAATTAAATTCTACCCACAATACCTGTTATACCAAGTGTATAAATGTAGATAATTGTGCATATATACTTGCAGATCGACTGTACGGAAATTTACAAAACAAGCAAAGGTCAAGCAGTTTCGAGACCGTGCACCTTCTAGATTACCTTTAAACAGGATTTTAGTAGCTTTGAGAAAGCGAGAAAGTAGACCATTTTTGAAGCATTATTTTGTACAAACTACTCCTAAATCATCCATTTTAAACAAGATAGCTAAAAATTACAAGCAATGTTGTTTTCAATATGTGCATATGCAACATATTTTTATCAATTCATTTGCACATTTTAAACCATCTGTTAACTTAGTTCAGAAAAGCATTAAAACAGGAAAACATCATTCTTGTAATATTTTAAACCATCAATGGATACATATTCCAGGTAATTACAATGTTGGTAATCAACAATATCACATATCTCAAAGGAAACTAATGTTGTCAGGAGATATTGAATTGAATCCTGGTCCTGTTCAAAACAACATTCCAACCAGGCTGTCATCAAATGTAGTGTTAGAACAAAGGTTAAGATACTTTCAGTTAAGACCATTTGATGTTGGTGGTGATGGTGACTGTTTTTTTCGAGCTGTATCACATCAGTTACATGGTAATCCTGAACAACACTTAGAAGTTAGAGCAGCTGGTATTGCATGTATGAGAGATAATCCTGAGAGATTTATTGAAAGTAATACTGAAATCTCTTGGTTAGAATACCTAAATGATATGTCTATGCAAGGGACATGGGCTGGTGCTATGATTATACAAGCTGTTGCTGACCAGCTTAAGTTAAAAATTACTATTGCTGAAACACGTGAAGGGTTTAGTGAATACAATATTATACAACCAGTAGAACCTACACAGCAACTAACTAATATCTATTTGGGTCATATAGATAAGTACCATTATGTATCAACATTGCCATGTTCTTCAATATCAAGTTTATGTCGTAATGAGTTAAATTCTACACGACAATTAAATACAATTAGCAGAAATGTTGAAAAAAACATTAATCCAAGTATTAGCAACAGAATAGGAAATGAACCTGTGAGTCCTGAACAGTTGATACAAATCTCGCAGTCTAAACAAATGAAAACACAGTACATGAGACAATACATGAAATGAAAACGAGTTAATACAACACAGAGCCCTGAGTCGAAGGAAAAGAAAAGGCAATACATGAAGGAATACAGGAAACGAAAACGGGAAGTATACAGGAAGAAAAAAAGTCCTGAAGTTGAACCACTATAAAGTTTAATATCCAAATTTCATGATATTGTCTCACAAGGTCCTCTTTATATTTGCACATGTTGTGACCAATTATGGTACAAGCATAGTGTCATCCCTGCTGCATCACTAAAGGAAAGTAATCCTGATGCTCAAAAGAGATTATTAAATAGAAAAAGTCTCAACAATGTTGAGTGGTTGTGTCGAACATGTAATAAGCACTTAAAAAATAATAAGGTGCCTCCTTGTGCAGCCATAAATGGGATGCAATTCCCAGAAAAGCCTTCATTTTTTGATTTAAATGAATTAGAATGTAGATTGCTTGCTCCAAGACTTGCATTTCAAAAATTGATGCAGGCTCCAAGAGGTAGACAACTAAAAATTAATGGAAATATTGTAAATGTTCCAGCAGTTGTTGCTAATACTGTTAACATGTTACCATGCAAGGTTACCAAATGAAACAAGCACCATTAAAGTAAACCTAAAAAGAAAGTTGCAATACAAAAGTTCAGCTTTGTCACTTAATGTTAGACCTAATAAAGTAGCGGAGGCTGGCAGATGGCTTGTAAATAATGGTAACCTTTATAAAGATGAAGGTATAACTTTCAATGACACTTGGCTTGAAGACAATTCAAATAAGTTGGTGTTTGATGATAATTGTGATGATCAAATATCAGAGGGTTCAGAAACTGTTGACTGTAATGCAGACAAGACCCAGCAAATATTAACGTGTGATGATGACAATAACTGGAGTGAAGATGAGGCAGAAATGCCTGCTGGAATCACTGACACTATGTTAACATCTCCAGATTTTCTCACTGATAATGAACGTCAGCATATTTTGAATCTTGCACCTGGTTAAGGCAATAGGCCTATGAGTATTTTTAGGGATAAGTATTCAGAGGAATTAGCATATCCTGGTATATTTCTCGGACAGAAAAGACCAGACAATACAAAAAGACTAACCAAAGTCCATTATAGTGAAATTTGTAAATCTGAATTAAGAAGGTCTGACCGAAGAGCTGCAATGTGTGTGGAAAATCTTTTCTTTAAAACTAAGAAATTGCAAATGAAAATTTTGCTAGGGCAATCACAAGTTGCATTAAGAAAATGTCAACAGAATAGTCACACAATCACTGCTGGTCAACTAAAACAACCGGGTGCATTAGATAACATGATTCATCATGATCAAGGATTTAAATTTCTTAGAGCTGTAAGGGGTTCACCTCCATATTTTGAAAAAGCCAAAAAGGATATATTTGCAATGATAAGACAATTAGGACCTGCTTCATTATTCTGTAGTTTCTCTTCCGCAGAAACACAATGGGTTCATTTACTGAGAATACTTGGTAAGCTTCTTGATAACAAAGAATACACTGACAATGAACTTGAGAATCTCAATTGGGAAGAGAAATGCAGATTAATTCAGAATGATCCAGTGACATGTGCTAGGCACTTTGATTATCAGGTACAAAAATTTCTACAAAATTTTCTCTTAACTAACTCTGCACCTCTAGGAAAAATTGCAGACTGGTTTTACCGAGTTGAATATCAACAAAGAGGATCACCTCATATTCATATATGTTAATATGGCTAGAAAGTGCTCCAACATTTGGTGAAGATTCTGATTGTGATGTTGTCTCATTTATTGATAAAATTATCACGTGTGAAAAGCCAACTGAGAATGCAGAGTTACTTGCACTTGTCAACAGGCAGGTTCATCGTCATTCCCACACTTGTAGAAAGAAATCCAAAAGTGTATGTCGTTTTAATTACCCACAACCACCTATGCGGTCAACTAACATTTTATATCCATTAGATGTTGATATGGATGATAATGAACAACATGAAGATACTTACAAGTTTATAAAGAAACATCTGAATGACATGAAAGAGGGTGAGGATATTACATTTGATCAATCCCTTACCAAACTGACAGATATGTGACAGATATATGTCACAGTTCTGTAAAATATCTGCAAAATATATGTTCGAAAGTATCTGCCACATATCTGCAACATATAGGAATTTGGCCCCATAACATATCTGTCACAGTTATGTGGCAGATATCTGTCACAGTTATATGACAGATATCTGTCACATATCTGCAACATATAGGAATTTGGCCCAATAACATATCTGTCACAGTTATGTGACAGTATAGTTTCCCTGCAGATAAAAGTATCTGTATATTATCTACCAAACAGGTATGTCACATAACTGCCACCAAGTGAGATTTATCTCTTGCATAAAACTATTTCCTCTTACTTCTGCAACATCACATTGCTGCAACTGTACCTCTGTCATGTTCACTTGAAGCCATAAATAATTTAATACGAAGAAATATTAGATCAGAATAGTAAATGTATTTATTAGTAAATATATAATTATGATAGGTTGCACATATAGATAAATTTAAGACTGTACAATCAATTTTTCTCCAGGGGCCAGTTGTTCAAGGGTGGATTAGCTTAACCCTAGGTTAACCTAAACTTCAAAGCAAACTTCCTGATAGCTTGTCTATAAATTTGGAAATATTTCTTCAGAGATCTTGTCTGGATCAATAGGAGTTTTCTTCTTTGAAGTTTTGAAATAAACAGGCGTGTAGAAATACACAAACTAAAACAGCAGGCTAAATTTTAACCCAGGGTTAGCGCTAGTCCAATATTGAACAACCGGCCCCTGGGGCAGAGTAATTACACTTACTATAACCTACACTTATTTAAAATTTCCTAATATTATATTTATATACATGGCCAGCAATAAATAATGAGTACCTAAAAGTCATTAATTGTTAATGTCAAGTCTCACTCAGCTGGTTTGCTTTTAGTTCAAGCCCCACAGCATTTGTCATGTACCATGTACTGCATAGCAGCTGTCTTTCCATAGACTGTATCATCCAGAACAAAAGCTGAAAAAATAGTAATTGATAAAATCAGATTTATTTAATATGTTTTAGATTTAATTGGCATTGAGACATCAAGAATAATCTAGATAGTGTTAAGCCAAATGGGGGATGCCCTTAGGGTAGCCACGTGTTATGGGTTACCAGGTATATATTGGCTTAATTAACAATCTACTAGGTTACATTTGATTTGATACTATTTTTGTAAAGTATAATACAGGAGACATTAGGGCTTACTAATGAGTTAGCCAAAGAAATCAGTAAACACGAAGCTCTAGGAAGATGTTCTGTGACTGGTTGATTATGACAATGACAAAAGACGTAATTGACTTACATAAACAAAAGGAATATTGTTCTTGCTTCGTTCTTTAGAAAATCCATTCTATAGCTTATTCTTTTGTCATTGTAACAATCAACCAATCACAGAACATCTTCCTAGAGCTTTGTGCCGACCCAAAGAAATCACCGACCCTAATCCTTTTATCTGAAGTTTGCAAAGAGTTTGGAACAATTTTTCATACCCAGTTTGTGGCATTAGTTTTGTACTAGCTATATAATACTTTTGTTTGTGGAACACCATGTAACTACATATGGTGTTTCCACCAACAAAAGTATTATATGTTTTATCGCCATGGAAACCTGCGAAGAAATGACTTGTTTGTTTCAAAATCAAAGTTGATGTAATATTTAATGAATGTTTGTGTCATCTGTGCTGCTGTAATTGATGTAGAATATCATTCTCATGCATGAACATTTATATAATAAAAAATTTACGAGACAAAAAGAAAACCCTACCTATTCTGGCTAAATTTTTTGGGTCCAGCCACAGCCCTCCCCCTGCATTATTGCAGGCCTATGGACAGCTCTACATGTACCATACTGTAATGACTCATTTATGACAGAAAATTGACAATTGCACACTGACCCTTTATACTTCTGGCATAAATACACATTCTGGGTTATTAAAGCACTAAACTACTAAAGCCCTACACACTATGCTCAATTTTTAGTACGGCACAGATAAAACTGGTACCTGTACCGAATTAATCTGTGCTCGGCCAGTATGAATAGGTAGTCCAAGCATGGTAAACATGTTACGGGTACCAAAATTGAGCACAGTGTCAGTGTTAACATGCCTTAAAATGGCTGCATTTGGAGGTAAACTTAGGATTCATGTGCAATTATGTTGTTACTAGTTACTAAATTTTTGTAGGGGCTGTTTATAAGATTGAGACTGATTTGTCTGGCCTAGGTGGCCACCTTAGCCGGGCCAGTTTGTGATTTTTTTCATAGAAAGCACTAAAAGCTGACTATTTATTCTTGTTAATTCTTACCTTACAACACCAGTTTGTCAACTCAATCCAGATCTGATTGTTGAGACTTAAGAACAATATTTGGAGCACACCGGGCTATAATCCAGTTCCAATATTAATCTGAAAATATATAAAGAGAACATCATTTTATACAACTGAAGCTCATTAATAAAGAGCTTGCTAGACTCTCCCCTTGACGAGTAAAATTGTCTTAAGCAACACAGTTGCAGCTTAATGGGTTAAGGATCAATACACTGATACATCACATTCAATGTTGTAATTCTTCTGCAATTACAATCCTTATTCATGTATTAAAATGCTAACATATTTTTAACAGCATTCAAATGTTTAATATATTATTTCACATTGTTAAAAGCACAAGTATGTTTAATATATTATTTCATATCGTTTTATTATTAAGTTATACACCCTTGACAAAGGTCTACAAAAGTGCCAAATTATTATATGCCAAAGTATTATGTGCCAAATTATTATGTGCCAAAGACAATTATTGCTAAATTGTTGATATTATTAGTGCACAATTTAGTACAGAATTTACTATAATAGATTCGAATTGATATTTTATTCTTTCTTTCCTTGCCAGAAACCAACAGTTTGTATGTTTTTTATGTAAATTGAACGCGGCAAATTCAAAATTATATTTAACAGAATTTCAGACACATGGCTCAAGTAACAATCATATTTTCACTACATTCTTTCACAATTAAAGTGCTTAAATAACAAGTCAAAATATAACTATTCTTACCTGTGAGATCTGAATAACATTTTACGAACTTTTCCATGCCTTTTCCATCGTTTGGGTTTGAAATTTCGATAAATTTCTTCACCATGTAAGACATGTAAATGTGCTTTCAAATTTTTAGCACAAAAATTCGAAACGACGCTATCCCATGATACTTTGCGCTCCGATACTTAAACTGGGCACCAGGACTCCAGGCAATGCACGAACTATTGCAGCCAGTTGCTTCAGTTGTCATGTATTAAATATAGTTTCTCTACGAATATAAGGAATATTTACAAATGTTTTCAATCAGTTACTGACTGTTAATTAATTTATTGTTATTAATAAATTATCAGAAAATGAAAATTCTCTACAATGATTCAATAAAACATGGAAAGAACTCAACTTTAGAAATTAAATTAGAATGTACTTCAGGGCTGCCAACTCTCCCGGATTATCCGGGAGTTTCAAGATTTTGGACCTAATCTCCCAGTCTCCAGATTTTGTCTTAATTCTCCCGGATTAGGACAATCACCAACGTCGATTTATGCACTAGCCATTTGATTCTTCGTTGTCAAAGATTTTAACAATAAAAATTATTTGCGTTGCTCATTAGAACTTCGTATTGTGTTTTATTTTGTATTAAAATGCTACATTTGCCCCTTTAGGAAAGGAGACCTTGCCCCCAGGGGCGGCGCTAACCCTCTTCGAGTGGGGGGGTGTGAGTGATCTTTTGCCGACTGTTGTTTGGTAATTTTGCCGAGTCATTAGCCTATAGTGAGGGTCCTGAAGGGGGGGGGAGGGTCCCAATCCCATTTTCCACCTGAAATTTTGGCAAAATCCCAGTCCCAGTTGGATTTTTATTAGAAATCCCAGTCCGAGTTATTGAAATCCCAGTCATTGAAAACCCCTTTATTTATCGGTAGAATAAACAGTTTTAAGACCATTTAAGCCACCGTGTGTGCAAGTGGCGGACATTTTATGAAAAATCGAGGGGGGAGGCTCGTGCCGAAGGCACGGAAAATTTTTAAATTTGAATCCCGGAAATGGCATTTGCATCATTCTGAGACACACATAATCAGAAAACCCAAAATTCCTGTCGGCATCCATTTTGCAGCCCTCGAAAAGTCAAAATCTCGGCATTTCTTAAAATCTGTTCCACGTCTTGGAGCACCATTAATCACGCATTTAATTTACGAATCATTGAAATCGGAATATAACTGGAACGTTACCTCCAGCCGGAAAATTCGAAAGTTGGAGCCAAATTTTAACTCCAGACGCGCGAAATTTGATCTTCAAACATCTAACGTATATACACAATACACAATACCCGTCAGTTTTTAAACCTTACACCGTAAAAAAATTTGCATTGCTGCATGACTGTGTGGTTTCTTTGATGCATGCTATTCGTGATATTCGGTTTGAATTCAATTATTCAGGAGGTCAATTTTGGTTTCTTCAGTGGTTATCTTTAGCCAATCCAGTTTTGCCGACTGAGATAACAATTTGCCGATTAGCTGACGAGTGGGGGGTGTTCCACCCCCCCCACACCCCCCCTGTAGCGCCGCCCCTGCTTGCCCCACCCCCTTTCCATCATCCCTGATACCATATAACTACTAGTTATATGATATCAGGGATGATGGAAAGAGGGTGGGGCAAGGTCTTCTTTCCTAAAGGGGCAAATGTAGCATTTTAATACAAAAGAAAACACAATATTTTTGTCCCAAATTTACTTTAATAACAAATTAATTAACAAAGATAAATATGATAGAAGAGAATTTGTATATTTAATTAGCTATTCCCAAAGTCCTGGGTCTAGTCGCACGAATTCTTTGTTGAAGGGACAAGTAATATGGCAGCACATGTTTAAATTAAAATTTAATGTAAAAAGGAGATATTTCATTTTTGGTCATGTATGTAAAATATTTAGATTAAAACTCTCAAAGGACTGCTTTCTCCAAGGTTCAAGGCTCAACTCATGCGTGGTTCAGACTCATTAAAATATAAATAACACAAACTTTATTACAAAAACGCTGCCATATGAAAACTCTACGCTCGTCTCATTAGTATTCCATGTGTTCACAAAATAAACGTCATAGAATATTATGCAATCTCTGACACTCCCCCCGTTGACCAGTGCATGCAACTACTGGTCAACAAACAGTGAAACAACTAAACTACAATTACGTAGTCTACAAATTTGAATTATCAACGTTGTCAATGCAAGTAGTCTTTCTACTATCGCAATATCTCTACACTAGCTACTTAGCTGTCATTCAGTTACTCGATCCATTTCCTTCGCCGTTCTTCTCCCCGCTTCGCCGCTTCACGTCTTGGTCTCTTTACTTCGACTTGGTTCATTTCATTTCCGATCGCTTCGTCAAGTTCGTTCTTTCCGTACCGATTTTCTTCAGCTTCCGAGTCGGACCTTACCTCTAGTGGGTAAAGTAACCGTACCGATCTTTTCAAAGTCGTCGGCCGTTTCCCCTTTGGACTGATTCTAACGATCGCTCCCCGCACGTTTCCGTCCTCTCCGTTGATCAACCTTTCGACTTTGCCCAATCTCCAACATGCTCGAGGTTGCGACTCATCGTGAACCACAACTATATCCCCCGCACGGATAGTTCCCTTTCCGTTGTCGTTCTTACCGCGGTGTGAATTGCACAGTTCCATTAAATATTCGTCATGCCAACGGGTCCAGAAATGATTCATTAGTGTGCTCAAGTGCTTCATTCTTCGACTTAAGTCCTTATCGTTTAACGAGAATTCGGGATCTAATATGTCATTGCCAATGTCCTGCTCTGGCATACTCAGTAATCTTCGTCCCGTTAACAAATGTGACAGAGTGAGTGGTTCTTGTAGATCTTCGGTAGAAACATATGATATTGGACGGGAATTCAATATCATCTCCACTTCAGCGACCACCGTCAGGAGTTCTTCGTAAGTTAATTGAGCTCCTCCAACAGTCTTCTTTAAACACCTCTTGGTGGATTTGACAAGTCTTTCAAAAATTCCACCCCACCAGGGTGCCTTGGGTAAATTGAACGACCAAGTGATGTTCATGCCGACGAAGAATCGCCTTATCTCTGGATCTCTCAACATCGTTTTGATCTCCCGCGATGCCGCCTTAAACGTCCCGGCGTTGTCCAACACAATCGTTGACGGAACACCGCGTCTCGCGGTAAATCTCCGAAAACTTCGAATAAATCCTCCTTTTGTCAGGGTTGGTACAATGTCCAAATGCACTGCTCTCGTTACACAACATGTGTAAAGGCATACCCACACCTTTTCGCTCTTCTCGTGTGTTCGAACATAGAGCGGACCAAGGAAATCAATTCCTGTTGCTGTGAAAGGTGGTGTTTCTCGTACTCGAAATTCGGGTAGGGGAGGTGGTGGTGGAGCTTGATAGGGTTTGCCTTCGAATCTCCGACAAATAGAACACCTCCCGATCAACTTTCGCACAAACTGTCTCCCACGGACGATCCAGTACTGCGATC